CCCTACAACATTACATGTTGAAGTCTTCTACTTACCTGCAGACTCTACAAGAACTACAGTCAAAGACAACCAAAATCAACTAGAAATTGGTTTTTCTTCTTGGTTGTCTACTTCCCTACAAACTCCCTTGGAGCATTACCTGTAGGAGCTTCTAACTACCTATAGACACTGCAGGAACTGCATTCAAAGACAACGACAATCAACTAGAAGTCAACTTTTCCTGCAAGTTGTCTAATTTTCTGCAAACTCCCCTGCGACATTACCTATAAGAGTCTTCTGTCTAACTACAAACACTGCAGGAATTGTAGTCAAATACAATCGTAATATGAGATGAAAACTTCAAGATCTACTTCACATGATCTCCCTCGCACATTGTTTGATGTTTTCAAATTCAAGTTGAATATGATTTTCAACCATGTTTCAACTTAAAAGGGGTGTTAGGAGTTAAATTAGAAAATAATTTATTCCTGTTAGAAGTTCCGATGATTAAATTTATTTCCTAATATAAATTTCTTTCATTTCCTATTTTATTTTTATTTCCTTGGATCAAATTTATTTATTTTTCTATTTTATGTTGTTTCCCTTATCTCTAAATAATTATTATGAATTGATTAATTGGAGATAATAGGTGATATAATTTTTCTTTCTTATTTTTATTTTATTGTCTTTCCTACTCTAGGATTCATGTAAGGTTTCTTTATACCCCCTCTTCATATCATTAAAAATATTTCATTGAATTATGAAAAATCAATAATTGAAAATAATAGTCAGCATATAAATCAACATCAAGATAAAATGAACTTGTGTTTTATTAACATTTACATTTAATGAAATTGTTTGATGTTCTACTAGATCGTTTGTTATGTAGTTTTGAGAAATCTTAATTTATTTAATAGGAATGCAATCTAGTTCAGAAGTCAGCAATTTTTTTGTGGACGAGGATGTTATAAAGTTCCTATATATAAATGAGATATGAAACCCCTATTGCAATACATGTATTCTAAATTCAAGGTAAAAGCACACCAGTAGCACCATTAGCATTCCCGAAAGCACAGAGAACAGCTAATGGAAGAAAATAAAGGAAGAAGAAGTATAAATAAACCAAACTTTAAAAGTCACCTAAAATCTCCTATTAAGGCACTTAGAATATAAAGAAGAACAATCCCAAAACTAGATTCTGACATAGAAAAAGATATGATAGTAATTATTTGTAGGAAAAAAAACCAATATTAAGAATGTTTTAGACCTTTTTAATGCATACAAAATTAACTTGGCAGTTTCTAGCAATTCTTAAATTTTTCATAAAAATTCCTTAAACTTGTTAGATGCTAAATAGAATATTCTTGATGAGATTGATGAAGTCCAACCTCTAAAATTAACTCATTAAGGAGGGAGGGGGTGATTGAACATCAAAGTATCAAACAAATCAATCCATAATACAAGGCTAATAGTTTGTTATATTATTGTTAATATCGATGGACTGTGAGCTCAGCATCAAAGTAGCAAACAAATCAATCCATACTGCAAGGCTAGTAGTTTCCTATATTATTGTTAATATCCATTCTTTCCGATAAGAAGTTTTTCTAGGTGTCTTCCAATCATTAGTGAATAGGCACCTATACACTTATAATTAGGCCTTATCACATCAACATTAGATCCATTTGATAAACAATTGGGAAGCCTTAAGTGATCTTACTCTATTGCTTTGGCTAATTTTTAGAATAATAAGAGTACACCACTTTACCCTATAATGTAATTAGATGGCACACAAAATAAAGGCTTTGGGAACCAATCATCTCTTGATATATTTCAATAATCTTTAGACATAAAAAAAGAAAAATTTTAAGATGGTGGTTAGGTGGAAGCACCTAACATCCCTTAATATGGAATAACAATGCTCGAGTGACAAACATTCTACCCCGCATCAATATGAATCGGACTAGCAAGTGTTAAATTATGAGGGAAACAAACTAGCAAAAGCAACTCAACATGTGAACGGGTATACATAAAAGGGGAGTGGAGATTGTTGGAGTTCATTGTCGACAATGCGATGTTTTTTAAATTGACTCTTCAAAATCTAGAATAAAATTAAAAGTAAGCTAGTATGACATAGGATGGTCCGAAAACACAATAGTTCCTTCTAAATAGTGAGCAGACTAGGGGATTTTGCATTTCAATTAAAAAATCTTGAGATTCAAAATGCATCCCACATTTCTTGTGAACTATTGAAACAACACAATGAAGACATAAAAGATGAAATGCAAGAAACACATCACCTCCTACAATTAGGACAAAATTTGGCAAAGAAATGTAAAAGATCCTTGATCAAAGAGTTTGAGGGCAAAGTAAGAAAAATAGAAGAACCAAATTTTAAATCAAATGGAAAAGAATAAATGGTTGAGATATGACATAGGAGAAGGAAGCCAATTTGTATCAATCTGAAGAACATAACGGTGTAAACATTTACATCAACCTGACAATGGCACCAAAATGTTCTAGTGGGGATATTCCCAATAACATGACTATGGACGAAGGCATTTGGTTGGATGAATTGTGCCATTTTCTAGTAAAAAGATACCAAACAAGAAATTTTTTTTACTTATGTTCGTAGTGGCTTGTGCTGGTGCTTGTGATGGTTTAATCAAAAAGTGAGTTAAGCTTGCAGTGGATTATGCATGCAATGGCATGTATTTATGGTGGATTGTGCTTGCAGTGGCTTATGTGTGCAATTGGCTTGTGCTTGCAGCAGTGTGTACCTAAAGTAGGTTGTGTTTGGAATGACTTGTTCATATGATCGAAGGTTTAGAATGGGAGTGTGCGTACGTTGCCCGCATGATAGTGGCATGTGAGGCAGCCAATTCACAAATGCAAGTAACAAAGGAAAATTGTGTGATGCATCTGAAAAAATGGCACCATCAGTAGGAACAAATAGATTTGTGAAGTATTCAAAGTTATTTGTGAAGGTTTGTGTAAATGGGACAACTATGGTACTGCGCTCAAATTATAAACATTTGCACACATGCAAAAAATGTGTACAAATGCAAGTGTGAACATATAGTTGGTGTTTACACGAGCATATTGTTCAGTGAGTGAAAACTATTTCAAAATAATGTCAATTGGGTTGTTATTCCCAAGTGACATTTAAGGGAGGCGCAAATACAAATAGAGTGTTTAAGTGACAAACATTTGCACACACTCTTCAAGTGGTATGGCTGCTATAATAATACAAAACAAAGTAATTTGGCAGTGGTTGAAGGCATGGATAGACTAGCATGCACATGTGGTAGACTCTAGATATTCATGCATATTATGAGTGTGCTCTACAAAGTGTGCAAGCGTTAGTAATCTTTATGCACATGCATAAATAACTAACGAGCCTTGTATCATTGTAATTCTTGGTGAATAAGTTTGTGATTGTAATTCCGATAATTATGTAGTGATTTATCCCAAATTGTGTGAATGTATAATCATGGTTTTTACTACAAGCATGATGTGCATGAGCTAAACTCTGTTGTATGCAACTTTGTGAGAAGTCAACTCCAGAGCAGTGTCCAGATTGTCTAGCAAGTTAGTTTTCAATATAAAAAAATGGTAAAACTACAACCCTAAGATACGTGCCATTATGAACAATATATATAACTATAATTATGCAATGCAAATTATTGCAATAAAATACTATGAGTCACTGCTTGCGTTAAGTCTGTTAATGGGAATTAATCTCTAATAACAACTCAAGCCTCAAAAAACCATTTATCTAACAAAATGTAATCCGCAACTTAAATTAATGAGAACTAATCTCTAATAACAACTCAAGCCTAAAAAAACCAATTATCTAACAAAATGTAATCGACAACTTAAACCCATGATGAATAAAGAAATTTATATATTTCGTGCTCATCAAAAATTGAGAAAGTTCTTAGAAAAAAGCAGATAGTCATCTACATAATAGTAGGTCACCAGCACAAGCCCACTGAACAAGTTTAAAATACCATATGTTTCAAAGACAAAATGTTCCATTTGGTTGCAACTAAACTCCCCTACTGTTAACAAGTTGCAATACAACAACATAAGCCTAGTTTTTTTTGTTTTTTGGTAATATTCCCCCCCAAAATAAAAATGAAATTATTTGCACAAAATTATGTGCACAAAACTAAGAAAAAAAACCATTTTCCAAAAAAGTTATCATGCAACATGATGAAAAAAATAAAAAATTAATTGAAAATCCTGTAATCATTATTCAAATCATTTATCAGAATAAAATCTAAGTCATTACTTTGAATTACATATTATATATTTCATTATTTTTTAATATTAATTTATTTACACAATAAGTTTTCTCACCCTAAAAAAGAGATGATGTTTCCTCCCCTAAAACCAAGACAGATTAACAAACTGTTGCAGAAAGAACAAAAGGTTTGCATATTCTTACTTATTATGGGCTATGCCAAGATAAAGGTGGAAGGTAGAATTCTATTGATCTCTCTTTATAAAACATTGCATTGGTGTATGCGGTGGCCCTGGCTGCACCCACAATTAACAAGCACGATGGAAACTTATAGATATAACAGATGTTAGAATCACACAGATAAAAATCTAAACCATGCAAGAATCCATCAATCCAATCCAAATATCATAAAAATATAGCCATTATGAAAAAGAAACATCCCAATCTCCAAGGAAAACACCAAAATCTAGGGAAAATAGGAGAATGTCTCTATCTGGAGTGCTTATTCTGTGCGGACACCGCACGCAACTATGTGTGCGGTGTCTAATGGAAAGGTGACACGTGGAACTGCAACCCCCACAACTTAAAAAATGAAATTAAGGCATTCTTACGCGCGACCCAACCCGAGTCCTGCCCGAAACACGTAAAAGTTAAACAGCGCGCCTGAAAAATGTGATTTCATCGGAAACCCAAACGTCGCTCGAGCGAGGAGAGCGAAGAGCACCTTCATTCGATCTTTTAAGGTTTTTGAATCAGAAAAACTTAGGGTTTTAGAGTTGTTGTTGGAAACCGAAGAGAGCACAATGAGAATAGAGATGGAAGAGCCCTTTAGAATAGAAGCCGAAGAGGAATCGACAATGGAGGCCGAGAAACGCAAGAAAAAGGAAGCGAAAGAGCGAAAGAAGAAGAAAGTCCAAGAGGGTTCATCCAGGTAATTTTTATTTTGGTGGTTCTATTTTTATTGAGAAGACCATTTGGGTAATATTTTAGTTGTACTTGAGTAACAAATCACTCAGAGTCTCAGAGTAATATATGGTAATATATGAGTTGTATTTTACTGTTTTTGAGTTGTACACAAGTACACACAATATTACCGTAAAAAAACCAATATTAAACTGCAATAAAACCTATTATTTAATTATAATACCAAACTAATCACTACTTAACACTATCTTAAACATTACCTGAGTATTATAAAAATAATTCTATAATAATAGCAAAATATAACATAAAAACTATTAGAATTAACCTTAATACTACACCAGAATATAACCTTAATGCTATTGATACCAGAATACAATGGAAAAACTTCCATAATATAACCTAAGTACTATACATGAATACAACTTAAGTAATACTACATTAATATAAAAATATAACGAAAATACAACCAGAATATAACCTAAATACTACAATACCAGAATACAACGTAAGTAATATTATAATATAACCTAAATAATACTATACGAGATCACATAATATTGCTTAAATATTACCATAGTTATCCCGAAATAAAACCTTTCTACCTAACCCCTTATATTTTTTGCATTATTTTGTTTGATGTAGGTTTGTGAACCCAAGGTCCATGAGTTGTATGTGCCGACCATTTGTAGTTAGAGATGAGCTTGATAAGGTGAGGCCTGCTGTATTTGACGAGATGAGGAATGAGCTCAAAATGTTGAATGTTGATCAGTTTTTTGCACTTCCATCTTATCCCTAAGACAATGTGGTCACACTTCAAATATTGCAATATTGAATACATGAAAAAATGGTTTTCAAAATGGCAGGGAAAAATCTGAGGATAAATCCTAATGAAGTTGCCTTTTTGAATGACATGTCAAATAGAGGAGAAGTTCCAAAGTGGAAGAAAGTTCCATCCTGTGGCGTTGATGCCCGTCAAATGAAGGTTGATCTGTTGAACTTCGGAACCGGGGAGTCATCTGCCCCTTTTAATCAATTGTATATAAACGATTTCTTATTAAATTTATTTTTTCCGCATAGTAATTTTAGTGTATCCAAAGGAATTTACATCTTTAGAGAGAATGAACATACATTTGCTTCTTTTAATTGGTCTGTTGTTCCTTCTTTTTACAGCGGGAACAATTGCAGACTGTTCAGATTTAAAAACTTCATCCTTCTCATTCCTTCTCCAAGCTTTCATGACATTTTCAAGACCTAAGAAACTCTCGGTGAGGGTGCTTGTTGGCTTGGAGGCATTATGACAAATGTTATTCGTTGACTCACTTCTTTGTGTTGAAAGGATCCTCATCCCAAATATTTTCTTATTGAAAGTTGTTGACCACTTATGCCTGATATTGTACAAACTACTCAACCAAACATTCTCATATAGATTTCCTATCCCAATCATTGTATTCCAAGTTTCTTCAAACTCCTCGGAGTTACATCTAGCCATGCATTTATAAAAAAAACTCATTGATTTTCTTGGTGCTTACACCACAATGAAGTTTTGAAGATAATTTCTTGTAAATATGTCATTGGCATAATCTATGTCTTGTGTGCGGAAGTCACTCTTCAATGACTCTGGCCATTGTTTGATCCTGATCAGTGAATATTGTCATCGGGTACTTGTTGTCCATAATCCGGATAAATGATTTGAATAACCAATTGAATAATTCAACTGTTTCATCTGACAAAAGCCAACTCCAAATAGAACATTCTGCAGTGGTGGTTCACACCGACAATAGGAGCACAACATAAAGTGTATTTATTTAATCTATAACTTGTGTCAAATATTATGACATCCCCAAAACAATCGTAATCAAGCCTGTATATCTCATCCCCTTAAAAGAAATTCAATAAACTATCAGACTCATCAATTTGGACGTCCCATGCAAACATCATATCATCTGCTTGCCTCTTAGTGAACAATCTAAGTAGAGAATTAGCGTCCCCATTTTTAATCTTACCCTTTTTCTCTCTTTATATGAAATTATAAGCATCCCTCTTCGTGCAATCAAGATTTTCAACTCCCCCAAATTCTGTAGCCAGAAAACTAAAGGCATCGCTTGTTCTGATCCCTGATTTTGTCATCGATCTGAGCACTTGTGCACTAACATCACCCATTTTTCTGCTAGAACACAATAGATGTTTGTCACCGTCTGCTGCCAAAGGATGGTTATGAGGTTCTTTAAATTTTTTAACCGACCAGTTACCTTCTGCATCGACGACATATCGGATCATGGCTGGACAACCAGTCCTCGTGTCCCCTCTTCTGTACTTCACCGCCACAT